GCTGATAAAAATGCTAAAGAGGAGAAACCAAGACTGTTTTCAGTCTCAACTACTCTCTATATATGTATTTTTCAAATAACTACCCAAAATGCTCACCTGAGACTGGATAAAAGGGTCACAAGCAGGTATTTGTTGAAACAGAACATTCAAATATCCATAAAAAGTAGAGGTTAAGGAATAGAAATTAACAATTAATTATACTAGAAGACACAAATCCACTGAGATTAGCTCAGTTGGTTAGAGCAGGGTGCTAATAATACCAAAGTTGTGGGTTTCATCCCAATATGGGCCTTTCACTTAGTAGCTGAGCTTGATGATCCTTGTGGGCCCCTTCCAACTCAGAATATTCTGTGATTCTGTGAAAAAGCCCCACAACCCTCTTCCAGCCACACCTGCATTGCCAGATATGCTCAAACAGATAGAACAGAGTCCCCTGTGAATTATACTAGGCAGAATTACTTCCTTCCTGCTCCCTTTCAAAGCAGCCCTCAGTCCTGTATCCCCCCAAAAACCTTTCAGCTCCTTGCTTACACAGTTACTGGGCACATGCACAGGAGAATGCACTTGTTACCCACCCAGATTTCTGAGGAACTGGCTCGCTTTCCATTCAACTATTTTACCTAAACTGTCCATTTGGGAATATCAGTGTTTCCTTCCACACAGGCTTTCACACAGGATTTCACAAGGCATTTTCCCTTTGAGACAGAGGGTTTTTTATGATGTGTGTAATAAGTTCTGCACTGCCTGGTGTAAACCAAACTTCACTGGGAGTTGCAGGAACATAACACTAGTGTGAAAGTCAGCTCAGGACAATGCATCTTAAATACACTTGCTTCAGCTGTAGATATCTCACTAAAACCAAAATTGGTTTCTCTTCCTGCAATGAACCGTATTAGGCTTGAATTCAGTGGGAGCTTTGCCTGCCTTAGGAATTTTATAGGGGATGATGGAGCCAAGTGAGCCAGGCTAATGTACAAGGCAAGCTTGTGTAAATTGCTAAGAGGAAAATAAAAATGATGGAAAGGACTGGGAGCTCCAGGAGAAGCTGTGCCATTTAATTGTTTATTTTCTTGTTGCTTTCATGTGTAGGTGAGAAAGCTGCCAGTACTTTAAAGTTGCTTTTTGTCTTCCCATATAAAGGTAACCTTGAATATCTTTTTAACATGCTGACAGTCAAGTACTGGTAAATCATGCTGGTCAGTTAAAGATATATAATAAAAGCAGAAAGGAAGGAAAATCTTTACAGGAGTCTAAGTAGACAAGTTTCTTTAAAAAAAAAACAAAATGGAAAAAAAGACTGAATGCAATGTTGTATATTCCTACAAAAATCCTCTTATTTTCAGTGAATCCCTTTACTAACTTAATTGACAGTGATGTACACCGATGCTGACCCCAGCTTTGGGTTTTAAGTACAACATGCTACGATTCTCTGTTGCATCAGGAAGTAACCTGTACACTCCACCACAGTGAAATGTCTTAAAAATGGAAACTATCTATATTCATTAGAGTTTGTGCTAGAGCTCACAGGTTCTGTGTTAGGGCTCTCAAAGCCGTGGGAACTCAGGCGAGCAGTCTCTGGAAGAAGGCAGCAAATTGCCCGGCACTGCTAAGGGGAGTTTTAGTAAACCTTCTGCCAGCCTCAGACTGTTTTACTGTGCAAGAAACAAACTGCAGCTTCAATTACTATAAGAGCATTACAGGGAAATTCTTTATCAGTACGATGCACTCCACTGATCCCACACAATGTTTCCACTGCATTACTGTTATCAGCTTTACAAAGTCAATGTTTTCCAGGCTTACTAGCATAGTAAATAATGGCTATTTTACACAACATCCAGCATATGAAGTAGTTGTAGCTAGCTATTGGTCTATGTTGCTTTTTCCTTACTATTACTTTTGCAGCAAAAATGATACACCACAAATATTCTTCTCTATATTCACACAGATTATATATTCATTGTCTTATTGATTTTAACTACTCATATCCCTGAAGTGTCAGCTTGTCCATTGTCAACCAGAAAAGAATCATCTCTTCTGACTTAGTCTATACCAGATAAACCACCATTAAATGCTACATGCCATTTTGGTTTCTTCCCTTGTTCCATCCAGATTACTCCAAAATTAGATACCTCTTCTCCCTGGCATGTTTTTATTTTCATTCACCCTAATTTCTCATACCTTCATTTCAGTCTATTATACTTCAATGTTTTGTTTCAGAAAATGAAAATGGAAATGATTCATCTGTCTTGATGCTCACACTCCTGACACGTTTGTCAAATGACTCGTGTGATCCCACTAAGTGCAGCTCTCTGAATGGTGTCAGTGCAGTGGGGCAGGCTTAGAACATGCCCAGGAGAGAAAATAACCCGGCTTGAAACTTCACTTGGGCATGTTGTCCCCTCATCCCCCAAACCCTGCATCAGAAGAAAACTCTCTTTCATGGAACACTCAGAAGATGTGAGGCCCATATGCAGCAGCCCTGTCTGAATGCTTAGCCCTAGGTGAACATTTTTGCACACGTTTAAATTCCCCTCTCTTTGAGAGGCCTGAAACACTGAAGCATTTGGCTGGAAAGAGATTGCTTTAAACGCACCCTTACGTGCTTTGCTGATCAGAATGTGCTCATGTTAAACCTTACATGGCAAAAAAATGGATGTTTCTGAACTGCATCCAAGCAGGCACCAGCAATTTTCTGCTCACGACCACCAATCGGGCATCAGCACAATGGGACCTTGATTGGTCCTTACAGGGGCTGCTGCAATACAAATGAGAATTATATTCTGCTCATGAATAGCAGATAAAGTGTCATCCTACTGCTTGAGAAGAGAAATATCAAGAAGACAGCCTGACCTTTACCTCCCCCTTAACTTACTTACTTTGTAGAAACATTATTAATTACAAGTCTGTTTTTGTACAATAAAAAAACCAAAAAGCCCACCTAATTCCATCACTGTTAAGTGGGCAAAACTCAAGCAGAGAGGAGATAAAACCTGCATCCTCCCCTGGGCTTTTGCTTGGCAATGGCCACTGGCCAGCTGGACACTGCTTGCTTGTTTGCAAAGGAATAAATCACACCCTTGTCTGCCAGCAGGTCCTTCTATTTCTACTCGTTGTCACAGTAATAAATCAATTGTTGCTGCAAAACACAGCTCCTCTCCAACTCGTGGGGAATCTGCAAACTCTCTGCAGCCCAAATGTCAACCAATTGCTGGCTGGGCTTTCAGGCTGGAGTGGTTATTGTTTGCCAGTTCCTTATTTACATTGGAACAGTAAATTCCATTCGCAAAAGCCTTTACCATTTGGACTCGTTTGCCTTAGAAACAAATTAATTGCTGCCATACAACATCATCCCTGCTGTGACTCACATAGGGCATATTTGTACTGCCTTGGCTGGAGGAGTGAACCTCAGCTGCCAGCTGGACTTCATCCTTGCACACTGGAGCTATTATTGTACTCCTCACATTGGGGTTCTTACTGCCACAGCTGCTCACATGAGACCTGAGCATCTCAAAGATGCATTAAAGTGAGCTCTCCCATATCAATGCAACTCATCTGCACAAATGTTTCTGAGTTGGAAAAGAGGTGTAAAGAAGCTGTAAAGATCTTCAATGAGCATCCGGGGGCTGAGTGGAGAGGGTGCATGCAGGCTTGGCTCAGAGCAGTGCTTGGCTCAGCCACCCAAGAGACGTCAGGAGAGGCATCCAAGGCTCTCTTCTTCCCTCCACTCATCTGACTGCCCCTTAAGAGTTGGGTGGCAGTGAGCAGTTGGGTGGCAAAGCATGGTTGTGTCTGATATTCCCTCAAAAGAGGTCTGTCCCTTCCTGCTCCCCATACAGAAAACACTTGCCCAAAATTCCACGAGGTTCAAAGTACAAGAGATATCACAGGAGGTAAGTAGAGCAGCCTTGGAGACTCAGCATTTTCCCCTCAGCTAAACCTTAGGGATGCCAACGTTTGTTTTTGTAGGGGAACACTTTTCTAATCACAGGGTTGTAGACAGCCCCAGTGTGATAATGTTTGGGTCCATGACTGAGGCTTGCAGGTGTCAGTGCATGTAACAGTGACACTTGGCTTTGCTGCCTAAGCTGTCATATGATAACCTCTGCTACCCTGAAAAGCTCATGGCTCTCTATTGTCAGGAATTTTGGAGGGAGAAAATAAAAAGCCTTGTTCAATGTGATTAAAGAAGTTGCAACCACTTTTAAGTAAACTGTCTGTTTGCTGAAATCCCCACATTGCTTTGAGATGCTTGAGAGATCACGAGATGTTCTGTGACATCCACCAAGGGAAATAAAGTGAGATAACTGGATTCCTCTACATTTCTTACTGTTCCAGGGTAAATGAGATAATAGTGCTGACATAGATGTGGGGGAGAGGGAGATAATTTGCTGGTACACTCCTTTCTGGGCTGAGCTTTCTCATCCAAAATTGTACATTTTGTAGACTGAAATTTTAATTTTGATCAGGAAGGCAAAAATATTATGATGCAGTCCAACACTACTGATTCTTGGGCAGCTTACAATTAGAAGGGGAGTACAACAAATTAATCTAAAATCCCAGATTTCAACCTAATTCATTGCTACATCAATCCAAGACATAGGATGCAACAGAACACAAAGGATCTTCTGTACATCAGTCCTGTGATGAGGAGAAGCCACTTCCAGCTTCAGTGGGAAGGCAAGGATCTTGGCAGTGGGCTGCAGGATTGGAAATGCGCTTTACAGTAGGATTTTACCCAAGGACCCTCATCTGCAACCCAGTGCTGCTGCTCCTCTTCTGCTCAGGGAATGTATGGGGCATTTCCCTGTGCTGCACTATCACTGTGTGAGAAAGTGTTTTGTACAAAAAAAGGAGATTTCTTCCTAATGAACAGTCAGTGAGGGAGGGTGACGGCCATTTAGGATGTCTCTAGGTATTGCTTCATTTATAAACAGAGACTAAAGGGAAAACAGCTTTTTTTTCATTGCTAATTTGATTCCACTGCTTTCTCTCCTGTTCAGGCTGTACCATTGCTACAATTTAATGGAGAACAATGCTTACTCCAGTGAAAGGTCACCAGAATTCAATTTCTGTCTCCTCTGCCTCATTCTGATCAAGTGACAAAAGACACACACCATCACAGTAAGCCGTGTCCTCTGGCATTCCGGGGTTCTTCCAACACTTTAGTATTTAATGACTCAAAAAACTTTCATGGTAAAAGCTGCAGGAATGAAAGGCTGCAATCTGAAAGATCTGCCTTAAATAATTTTAAAAGGACAATTTTTGTCTTGTTTTGTTTTGTTTTGTTTTCTTAGTTTGGCCAAGAATAGGTTTAGAGATGGTTTGATCAAGTACTAGCATAGAATGGAAGTTCCAGGTAGCTGAGGGCTTGTTAATGTAAAGACAAAAGCACAAAGTGCTAACTGTAGCATACACTAGAGGAGATGCACAATATCATAGCAAGGAGTTATCTTACCATGAAAGGAATTAAGTTTGGATGGGCAGATTTTGCCATCTGGACTCTTGGCTACATAATATTTCAAAGGAGGTGACTACTGAGAAGTCAGTCACTCGAATGTTAGTACCCAGTGTAGCCGAGATGGTGAGGGTGTCCCTCCTGGCCTGGCATGAAATCATGCATATTTCCCATAAGTGCTGTTCTGCCCCAGAGGTGAAGAGCATCTCATGGGGTATGAAACTCCTAAACATCCTCAAATGAATCAAGCTGAATCGCTGTTAGTGGATTTTGGCAGAGCAGAACTTTCAGGTGCCCAATGCACTGGAATTTGTTTCCAGCTGAGACCACAGAATCATTTAGGTTGGAAGAAACCTTTTGAAATCCCCCAGTTCCGTCCCTCTGCTCAAGAACAGCCAGCTGAAGCAGATTGTCCAGGAGCACAGGGTGAGCTGTCTGAGACATCTGCAAGGGATGGCAAACACACTGTAGGGAACACACGAGCCTTTCTGAAGTGCCTTCAAGATGCCAAGAAAGGTGCTTCACAGCACCTGAACTGATAATAGATGTCTGTGTTTGGACAAATAAATCCCAGCCTTGTGTCTGCTTGAACGTGCTTCCTGGAACTTCAGCTGCCTGCTGGGCTCCACCATCAGCTTTGAGATGATCTCAGCTGACTCCAGAGGGATCTGAGAGTGCACAGTGTCTTAATGCTGACCTGCATCTTCACTTCTCCTGAATGCTTCCTGAATTTGTAATCACGTGGTGAGGTATAGGGCACTTTGCTGAGGAAAAGCAAAGAGAATGGTCTTATTGTACAAAAAACCTCCTGCAGCTGAATAGTTTTCTGCTACAAAAGAATCATAGAATGAGTTTCTCCTTTGCTGCTTGATTAGGAAAAAAATACCTATCAGATATAAGTAAAGGTACCTTAATCACATGGTATTAAAGGATGGTCCCACAGTCTGTGGCACAAGCACGATGGTATGACTTTCAGGCTTCCCTGATAGATCAGGGGGTGCCTGGATCTGGCTGTAAATCATAGAATCATTCAGATTGGAAAAGACCTTTGAGTTCAACTATACACCTAGCATTACCAAATCCTGTCCTCAAATCATCAATCTAAATTACCCAACATCTGTTTCTGATCTCACAGATCAAAAGATGACTTGTGCCAGTTGTGTCAGTAGAAAATGAGATAAGAAACCAGCAGTGGGCCATGTGTTCTGGCGCTGGATCAGAAACAGCCATGGGAGCAGAATGGTGACTGTTTTCCAAAATGCAAGAGACACTCCAGCAGCTCCTGCAGCCTTGACTCCTGCAGACAATAACCCTGACAGTGCAGCCACTGCTCTGTGCAGCTCCCCTTTCTGTTCTCCCACCCTGAAAAGCCTTCCTCTCCACGACCCTGATCCCTCATGTAAATGGAGACAGCATTATAAAATGTGCTGTCATCTATTCTGGAAATGTAAATTCAAGAGTCTTTCAACAAGGACTTGTAACAGTGTGGTTAATGTGTTCCAGCTGATGAGGCTAGATCAAGCCAATTAACTTTTTTTCTTAGTTTGCAAGGAGATTTACCTTCCAGGTTTTAATATTGATAGTGAAATGTTAGAATGGCATTTTCCTAAACCATGTCAGTACAAAATTTTGCTCTGTTACAATACTTAAAGATTGCTTCTAACTCCATGAATTTTGTAGCATTTTAACAGGTGTTGTCTTGCCTAGCTTTCTCTAGACAGCTTCTCATGCATATTCAATTTGAACAAACAAAACTCTGATGTTATTGTCCTAGGATTTCAAAAGGAGTGAAGATCACTTGGAATAGCTGATGATCATGGTCAGTTTTCTTACTACGTACTAAATAACTAAATAATGTGATCTCATATATAAAATCATCTGAATAAAAATAAAAGGCTAACCACCCACATAACTCAATTAACAAACCATCAAGATGCACTCTCATGTTTATTATTGCAATAAATCTGTGATTTAAATTTAGTGGCAAAATATTTGCAAACATTTACTCAATTGCTGCATGCTCTTTTTTTTTGTCATAAGATAAATCAGCTGCTCAAGTAGTGCTATAGCTCCATGATGTTTAGTGCCACACATAAGTTTAGCATCATGTTCTTTAGTCCACACTGTGGCCCTGCATATAAATGGTGTGACATCATCTCCTGTTAATTACAGATGGAGTGACAGACACAGATTTTACTACTTTCAAAATAGCATTAACACTTGGTAGCAGTCATGTCGTGAACTTATCCCTCCATCAGACTGCCTGGTATGGTGTTATATTGCAGAAAAGATACATTGACATGTTACTGGGAAGAACAGGAACATCAAAGCTGCAGTGCAGTGACTGGAGAACAAAATGAGTCTGATTCATCACCCTGAAAAATCCCTTCTGAAACGTCTTGAAAAGCCGGCACAGTTGCACCTTTTCAGCTAAGAACAATGAGAAAAGTCAGTGTGCATGAGAGAGAGAGCATTTGCCACTTGTCCAGGCTTGATGGGAACATGAAAGGATGTACTGCTAGTTAGTATGAAAGCAGAGGAGGAGAATAGGTGGGAGTAGAACAGGATTTAGAAGGGCAATAGAGAGCAGGAGAATAAAAAGCAGTACAGAGAAAGACGCTACAGAACGGAGAGGTAGAAGGGAAGGGGGTGAGAGACCTTTTACATTTCCTATTCCATTCTGTCTTCTCACAAAGCTCCACTTCCCAATTTCCTTTGTGTGACTTTCATTCAGTATGATGAAAGTCATTTTAGCACTTTTAGCACTGCCAGACACTTGCTAAAAACAAAGTGAGCCTGAGTAGTGATGGTGCATACATGTATGTGTGTAGTTTGTATATACACATATATGTGTATAAATACAGTCAGTCTTGCAGGATTTATGAAAAAATTTTAAGTGCTTTCAGAAGAGTTTGCTAAAGTTAAAACAGACAAATCTTTTAATAGTTACATTTACCATAGGGTATATCTATAACTAACATATATTTAGATGTTTCTCCTTTGAATTTATGTACAAAACATTTCTTCTATTACTAGTTACCTTCTGTATGGTGCTGAAAATGTTTATTGGCAGAATTGCTGAAAATGTTTATTTACAATCCAGAAGCTGACAACTATGAAGATATGAAGCCAACTCCTTAATGAGCTTCAATCTATTCCCATATCCCCATTTACCCATTTACCTCAGAATGAAATTGCCATTCTGTTATTTCTTCCACAGTCAGAGTAAACCTGCACAGACTTGATTCACTTAATTGGAAAAAAAATGCAGCACAGAAGGATATTTCTTGTTCATGAAAATTTATGGCTATATATCCTGTCCCTTTAATTTCTAGTTGGTAATTCTTGTTAGTGAGTCCTACAGAAAAAGTCTCAATGAAACTAAAAACACCAATAATTGCAATGAAATAAATCCACTGTATTATTTTCATTGATATACTGCTTTTCTGTGATTACTTCTGATAGGTATCTGTAAGAAAATCAAGGAGATTGCAGTAAGGTTGTGGCTTATGAATCAAAAGAATATTTTTGTACAGGACATGATGAAAAAACATTCTTCCATTCTAATATATTTCCTAATAGTTCAGGGACTTAAACATATGGTTTAATTGCTACCAAGTAATCAAAGGTCAGGGATAGCATTATAATTCACTGCAGTGAATGCTTATTCTTTAAAACCTCTGTGAGATAACAACTGACTTCCAGTTTCTGATCTTAAAGTTAAGCAAATGAAAAAAGAGTAAATTGTTTTAAAAGATTTGTGAAATAAATGTAGAGGAACATCTATACATGTATTTAATTGGTTATAAAAATATCTGTCAATGCCAAGTACTCTAAAGTTCATGTCTGTAATGCTAAGTGGTATATATAAGCATTATTGCTTTCCCCTGAAGAAAAGTGGCTACTAAGAGACAGCGTGTGTGGATTTTCACAAATGAGTGTTGAAAGTGCTTGGTTTCTGACTGTCCTGGTGGTGGAAGGAGGATTCAAGCTCTCCACTCCCTGCCCTGAGATGGACATGGATGTGCTGGTGTCTAGTGCTGGTGCCTGCACATGCACAAGCTAAGGACGTGGCAGGGGGCTGCACAAACGTCTATAAAAACCTTTTATCTCTGCTCTCTAAGCAAAATCAAATGCCCAGCAGACTCACCCTACCCAAATCCAGCCTGCTGGCTAGCAGCAGGAGAGCTCTGCTCTATACAGGGGATTAGTCCCCCATTTAGCTCTTGTTCCTGAAGCATTGACACAAATCACCTTTCAGGGTGGACCTCAGGGATGTCCCAGCTTTCCCAATGTGTTGTTACTCTTGGCAATTCCAACAAAGCTAAACGTTAAACCAAATTGCCTAAGGGAGAAGAGAGGGAAAATGTCCTAAGAAGCTAACCTGATAATTTAGTCTTCTGTGAAAAAATAAAAAAGACAGTCAAGAATGATCTTTCTTTATTTTAGACACAGTCAGAAATTAAAAGGCAGATTTTCCTGCAAGGAGAGAGCCCTGGGTGTGATACAGGGCTACTTTCAGCCACATGGAATAGGGGAGCTTTGCTTTAAACTGTTAAGAAAAAGCACTGGAGAAGGGGACACAAATGAAGGACCTGGCTTGCTTCTAGACAAGAAGAAATATTTCTTTATGATGGCATGGTAGTTTACTTTTCTCTGTTTTATCCCTACTTGGTGTAGAATTTACAGCTCCACAGCCAAAGGTGGAATAAGACATGAGTATTTTGCTTATGCCAGCTTAGCTCTTCAACTTCCACATCATTGCCCATTTCTTCAATCCCATTTACCCCATTTTTGAAGGAGACAAAGTGGTTCAAGGTTTTATGACCAGCTGACCTTTACTCTAGTGTAGCAACTGTTTCTCCCAGATTGGTATCATCTGCAATTTCTCCTTCAATGGTGATGGCAAAGTAGAGCTTAGAACATAATTTTTAAGATGTCTATTAGAAATAAAGACAGAGAAGGCACTATTCTTTCCATGCAGCTTGCCACCCTGAGCTGGCAAGAGACCTCTTCTGTAGGTCAGCCTGGAAGAAGCTTGAAACATTTCTGTCTCTCGTGTGTCCTTGTATCCTTTCCTGAGAAGCCTCAGCTGCTCTTACACTGAGACACAGAGATGCTCACCCTCCCACTGAGGGCCTTTATTGACTTGTTAGAGACAGGAAGCAATTTAAAAGCCTTTTCTCATTTACCTATTGACTTTCACATCACTCCTTTAAAGGATTATTGGATCTTGAGATAGTGAGTAATGATGTTATCACTATTCATTAATCCTGAAAAGCGTCTGCCATCCACGGAGTTTGGCAAAGAAGATGAAAAGAAGACACTGTAGGAAAAATGATTATAATGTTTTTAAGGAAATTCCAAGACAATAGCTATTATAAGCAATGCATCTTATGGAGTGATAATAGATTTTGCTTTCTTAAAAATGGTGACAGGTTCTTGCTCAATAAACAGCAAGAGAAAGAATTGGTATAAAAACATTGAAGTGACAAATACAACTTCAAGATCTCATTTCTACAATTATTTCTGCAGTGTTTCTGGCCTGGTATTTAAATTCATTGTCAAACTTGGAAAAGTCTAATGGAGGTCACCAAGTTGGTTGGCGCTTGAAGACTTGTCCTGTGAGCAGAGCTGAAGGGAGCTGGGCTTGTTCAGCCTGGGTAAAGGACAGCTTCAGGAGGGTCCCACGGCAGCCTGGCCCTACCCACCTGGAGGGTATTCAAGGAGCTGAGATGGGCTCCCCATGATAAGGCACAGTAGGAGAATGAGAGGCAGGGGTCATAAATTGAAATAATAGACTTCAGTTGGATATAGGAAAAGAAACTTCCTGAGGACAGTCACGAGACCACACTGCCTGGAGAGCTTCTTCAGTCTTGGAGAGTTCAAGGCCCACATGGGTAAAGCTCTGAGCAGCCTGGCCTGAACTCACAGATGACCCTGCTTGCAGCAAGAAGTTGGGCAGAGGGTATCTGAAGTCTATCCCAAAGTAGTTGTTTCTGTGATTCTGCTTCCCTTTTCACAGCAGTTTGCCAGGATTTCTAAGGAATATTCACTGTCTAAACACAAATGAGATGATATTCACTGCTTTAACTGCATCTGTTCTTACAATGAAACAAGCTGATTGGGCAGTCCATATTCATATATCCAGGTGATAAGACCCTAGAGACCACCATAAAACCGCCAGGGAGAAAAGCAAGTCATGCTTCTTACTGTACAAGACTAAATCCTCTCACAAGCCCGTCCCCTGGCAGAAAGATGGGCTTTTACATTAAGTGGTGCAACACCCTGGAAAATGAGTAGTGACTACAAATAATTCCTGCAAATGGAATTAAAATCCCTCACAAGTCTGTCCGATCTCTGCTTCCAAAGTGCTCCCATTCATATTAATCTATTCAGAAGATCACATTACTCCTTCCCTGCAAGCGCCTCCATTCACACCGGCACTCATCCAGAGTTATGCTGAGAACATATTGCAGAAGTGTGGCATTTCAGAGCTAGAAAACATGTGTTAACCAGACAGACAGTTCCAAGAAGAGAACACATGCATGAAGTTTATACTGCTCCATACATGGTGGAAAAATCTATGTTCCCCACAGCACTACATCCCCAGTCCTTTTGCAACCACATCTACAGGGTGAAAAGCTTCAGGCCATCAGAAAATTTGTGCTTCCTCTGCCTACAGCAAGAACATATCACTGTCTGTAAGTAATGCAGGTTGTTAAGAAAAAGAGAATATTTATTTAAGCACAAGATTTTTAAATAGCACAGTAATGAGCTTGAGCTGGCTATGTATATTACATTTCCATGTTCGTTATGAAAATTAATGTCAGCTTAAATACATGCATCCATTTAAAATGTAGAGAACCTTTTGCAAATGAAAAATATATTGAAAAGAAATTGAAAGAGAAAATATTTTGTTATAAATCCACAGAAGAAATCTTATCTGAATTACTGACTCAAGTCAAAGAGGCAGATAAGAATAGAAGCCAGTAGAATCTTGACAGTAAGAAGTTTGACCTAGTTTTCCTTCAGAATTGGAAGGTCACCTAGTCAAGTATTATACTAGTATGGTGATCCAGTGTATTTTCAAAGGCAGAATGGCTTGTACAAATAAAGGAACAGCTACATCCACAGAGTAATGTACTGTTAGGGGCTTTTATGCTGAAAGACTTTGTTTTATCAAATTGATTGATACAGATTTCATTAAGTGCTCAAAAAAACATAAATGTTCTTGGGATTCTCTAGCTGCTGTCTCTCTCACTCTTCTAGTTTGTGGATAAGCAGAAAAAGAAATTCATTCCTAAAAGCAAAAGAAAATTATTTTATACAGAGTAATATGTTCAAACTACCAGAGCAAAAACAAAAACCTAAATGGAAAAAGAACCACAGCGATCCCATTTTTAGGATGTAATGATCTTTTCATGACTGAACAATTTAATACATATGACTTGCAATTTCTGTGCCTGGCTCTGTCATCTTTTTAAATGACATTAAACCTCAGTGTCAAAATTCCTATTAAGAAAGAGGCTTTTATTGAGGAAAAGATAATAAAAATCAGGTACATTAATAAGCTGTATGAAAAGCTTCATTCCAGAAACAATGAAGCTCATAAAATGAGTTTTGCAATTTATATTCACATCCTAAAGCAACCAAGCACTTTAATACACCCGGATCTGACCAAGAGTGGTTTACCAGCCATCGGTCAGAACTTAATAAAATTTTGTATAAACCTAACGTGTGATATTAGGTCACCTATAAATAGGACAGCAGAGTTTCAAATTACATTTCTTCTTCCTTCAGAAACACTGAATGTATAGAAAACAATTTTGTGTTCCTTTAAGTCCTTGGAAATCCCTAATGAAGCCCATGCAGTCCGTGAGTACAAAGGATCATTTTTGAGTAACAACTGGGGATGGGATTTCGTGCATGGTAGCAATATACACTGAACAGCAGAGCTGAAGTTATAAATAACCTCATGGATCTAGAGTCACTCCAGAACCTGCTAAAAACTGTTGCTCCTGAACTGTTGCTCGAGATTCCCAACCCACCTCCTCAATGCCTACAACTGACATGTGAGCATCTGGACCAACATCATGGCAATATGAAAATGGTATTACCTGTGTCAACAAGCATCCACTCATAGCTCTGCCTATTGATTTCTGCTACCATTTTGGAACATAATTTTATTTCACTTATTGGATTTTGGAAAAGAATTAATGAGATAAGTATCTGGTGTTTGAAATAATCATTTGAGATGAAAAACAGGAACAAAAAGCTACCATAATATTCATATTTATTTTAAAGCAGTTTACTTGGTTACATACAAATACAATAAACATATCCTTGGAATTTTCATGTCTCATTTTCAATAAGTGATTTTTCATTGGCTACAAAATTATTGATCTCTTGCTCAAATGAGAGACCATTTTGAAATGAATGAATTCTAAGATTAGCAAATCTAGGAAAAATAGAAGCATTCTTGGAATATAATTTACTACAAAATAAAAGCATTAAGGTAGCTGAAGCAATGCACTGTAACAACCTGTTCAAAAATAAACTCTCAAATAACCATTAAAATAGAAGACAACAAAATTAATTATTTTCATGCTTCTTCATTCTGATAAATTCCATGAGACAAATCAGCACTCCCTTTTAAACCTAATCTGCTGGCAATTAATAAAACAACATAAGGAGAAATATTCTCACAATCTCAGGATAAATTGCATCTCTGCATCAATTGGCACAATTTTATTATATTGTTCTAAATAATCTATTGTTTTTCCATACCAATAATATTCCAGAAATACTATCTTGTTTGTTTATGAGTGAAATACTATTCAAGACTGAATGTTGAACTGGCTGAAGCATTACTTTATAAAACTTATTATTTTAGGGGTTTGTGCTGTAAGAGATGCCTTTTATTTCCATTCAGATAACTCCACTAGAAACTATTAAATTACATTCTGCTGAAACAGATGAAATTGTGAGAACCTCAAGCAACCCACTCAGGCCAGTAGAATATTTGCATTCTTTTCAGCTGCTTTCTGGGCCAAACTCAATTCCTAAGATATCCTGAGATCATTCCCACCTCCTCTAGTGACCCTTTTTTCATGTGATTCTCAGTCTCTATCAGCCATGGATCAGGTCCTTTCTCGCTCAGGAACAACTACTACAGGTTGCTCTGTGCTTGGTAGGTGCATCCCCTGTCTCAGCTACACACTTTGTGCCTCAGTTCATTAATTTGCTAAATGAGAAATAGTGGCATCTCTCCTGGAAGTAAACTAAAATGTTTAATGATGCATTAAACAGGTTTTAAATAGCAAGTTAAATGAATAGGCAAAATTACAAAAGAGACAATTAAATAAAACCCTTCCAAAGTTCTGTTTGCATCGTTCAAAGTGATGCAAACAGATACAGCTGACAAAGATTTTCCCAAGCTCTCAGAAAACAGGCAGCCCAGTAAAGGAGAAAGTAACAAGCCCCTTATGAGAAAGGCTCATCTATTTCTAATAACAGGAATAAACCAAATTTGAGAGGAACTATGAGTGCTTATCCAGATTTTGCTCTTTTACATCCCTTAGGGATACACCTGTCTTTTAATTAAACTTACCAGTTCAAGGGTACAACATTGCTTTTTACATATCTACCTCTAATTTTACCTTTGAAATTTATTTCCACTTTGTATCATTAGATTTAAAAACCAGTTCTGGTTTCCTCAGTGCCATAAAAAAAAAAAAAAGAGCAAATCAACATTTCCAGGGTCAAATGATCCTTTATTGGAGAGCTAATAACCCTTTTCCACCTTCTCTTTCTGAGGTTTCTTTATTACTGCTCTGTCTCAAGAATCCCACCATTTCTCCACAAAATTATATTTCTAACCTTGTTCTATAAATGGACCCAAACATTTTTTTCCCCACAGAACAGCAGTGAAATGCTTGCAGTGAGAAAATTCAGCTTTTCACAAAAAGCTTCCGCACAAACATGAACTAGCCGGCAGTGATTTATAAACCACTGGGAACACTATAAAAGATTTATTCTATTTGGACAACTAGTTTCATTTTTTCTGTATTCAAGTTTAATTCCACCCTCATTAAAATGGCCATTTTTTCTATTCTCTCACTTAATGAATGGAGATAATCTGGCACAAATCTCACATCAGATTGCAGCAATATCCTTCTGGAAGTCTGTGCCCAGCCTGCAGCTGCCCAGCTGAGTGCTAGCAGGTTGATTCTTGGTTCTCAGCACGTGGCATTCTCCAGCTATTGCTGATTTGGGTGGCTGATGGCCAGTGAAAGTCATTGCCAGGCTACTGCATGGTGGCCACCAGTGACCTTGTTGTTGGCACCTCTATGTTGCACATGAGCATGAAAACAAGAACGACTGAGCCAGCCCAGGGCAGATCCCAGAGTCCAGCTGCAAAGCACCACAAAGCCTACAGTGGCCTGACATGATTCCTTTTGTATTTATAAACACAAACAGGTGACTGCTTTGCTCCTGCCCAGAGCTGTGACCCACCAATGGTACAGCTGTGCCTGCTGGTAGCTTGGCAGATGTGGCAGAGCCGCTCCCTGGCACGGGGCCGCTGTCTGCGTGTGAGCCTCTGGCTGCGCACCAAGCAGGTGTGAGATGTGAAGGGGATGGAAAAACGAGTCATGCTGCCTACAAAAATAACTACAGTTCAGTACACTTAGTGCAGGCTTGGGGTGACCTACACATGGAAAGCAATGATTTAAAGGCAGTGATAGCAGGTTTATGGGCTGTGCTTCACAGATGCACATAGGGCACCATGTCACAGTAGCTCTGGAAATAGTGGAACCAGAAAGAGTCCCAGAGAAATTGATTATTCTACATTATCTGTTTGCAAGGACAGATGCTATAAAGCAGATGTAACTTTAGAGCTCTCTTGTGTTCATTTCCTCCAGATTACAGTGACACATAAAGATAAGGTTTGGTTCCAAGGGAGCTGTGTCTGGCTGGACCTGTACCAGCTGCCCGATGCTCTTACTTAAGAGTAATGCGGTCTAGATTCATTTCTCATAGGCTCATTTCCCATCGCTGTTTTCTGTGCATACCACTGGAGTCCTGTGTAGAATCACCAAGGAAGGAATCACAGGTGGAGTCCTGTGAAGGAATCACCCCCAAAAAGTCAGTGCTGGTTAACTGGCATTTTACAAACAGACAAAACATACAAGACCATTTGCAAGACAATTCTGAGCCTTCTTCCTGGAAGAGGCATGGATTTCTCACTTCCTAGAGAGAGCAGGAGTTACTTCTACTCCTTGGTTTCACACATTAAGCAAATTTGTGTCAAGGAGATGATGGTAGAAGGAATAGGACAAGTCCAAATGGTCACCTAGTTCCATGCTCTAGAAATCAGGGCTGTGTGTCTTCAGTGAAGTTTCCAGAATGGTGCTCTTTCACAGGGTCAGACTGGAAGAGTAAGTTGTCCAGGCTGGTATTTAGCCCACACATCCTCAGGAGTGTGGATTTATACGCAGACTGTCAGATTTTAGCTTTGAGAGCCAGAGGTGATTTGCCTATAGATATATCCTTGGCTGGGAGAGCTGTGCAATGGAAACAGGTCAAGTGATAGTATCAAGAGGAATTCTCTTTTAGCTTGTCTCCTGTACTTCTCTGTTCAGAATCACAGCATGCTTAACTGGATCTTTCCAGCCCAGAGCAACAAACCAAATTTATAATGTTCTTAATTGCTTTTTCTTTTCTTCCCAAGCTAGCAGATGGACCTGTACCATATCAGTGTTGCTTTGTGTTGTGCTTTCAAGAATGATAATAGAACCAACAAAATTATTTTATTTTCCGCTCTGTGCACACTGCAGGGAAATTTCAGAAAGCAGCACTTGGTCTTTATTTATTTTCATTTTCAGCTCTTGCTGAGATCAAAAATTATTTCTACTATATTTTGTTTGCTTTTATTATATAGTGTTCCAAACATTCTCTTTTAATTCTCACAAAGGATATTTTTAGGAAACAAGCCAGGCTTGCTGAATCTTTGGTAGGGATGTTTTAAGACAGAAAACAGAAAATCATGCTGTGTAGTCTACGGACACACAGGGATAAAAGATGACTCCTATCACATGCATCAGCCAAGAAACCCATCTGTGGCTGGATATAGTGAAGATTTTAGTTACAAATGCCTGCTTTTACAGGTACCCTAAAGATTCAACTCAAAGCAGAGACACCGTCAAATGTAACCTCACATTCAGTAAAACAATTCACAATTATAGCATCCACAGAATCAGCACAGATCTTTTCTGGGACTTTATTTTTACTGGGATGCAGAGAAGCACTTCACAGTCTTATTTGTGCCTAGCATATAGAATGAACCTGCCATCATTTTGGGTGTACACATATACACACACACATGTCATTGTACTGTCCCTCCAAAATGGATATCTGACCATATAAGGTACGTTCAAATTCAAGTCTAAAACCTTTCACTGAAGAAAAAGAGGGGTGGTATTGACTTCAAGAGATTTTGGATATTTGCATGAGTTATTTTGAACTGACTCTACTAGTCCTCCTCCAGAGATGTCAGGCTGAATAGTCCATTCTGATAAGAAAGTTCATTAGCCTCTAATTATTTTTAATGTTTTATACAAAAATAACATACATTTTCTTGAGGTAATTTTGGTATTGCATAGCTGTATCCTTCTTAAACTTCATGGTGTAGAAGGAAAAATTCATTTTCTCCTTCATAACCTTTACAGTTTAAGGCTGCATGTGAAAAAGCAACACAGAAATGCTTGAAAAGTTTGGCTTCTCCTTGTTGATGAAGACTCAAGAAAATTGCTATTTTCACTATGATGACTTTGATGGTAGCATTTTCTCTTCCACTGAGCAGTCTGTTGGGGAAGCAGCCACAGCAGACAGCACAGAGTGCTATGCTGCACCACAAACAGAGATGTGAGAGAGCAAGAAATTAGTTCAACTACTGTTTGTGCCAAATAGCATTAATTTAAATGTGCTTTTAGTGTGGAAAAAAACCAAACAGGCTGGAACAAATTCAGTCTTTGAGCAATGAAACTGATTATAGCAGTGCTTCTGGAGCTATTGTTGAGTCAGCTAAGAGAACCTAGGGCTGTGGTTTTCAGTGCTGTCCCAAGAAAGAGCAGGGTGTTACCTCCTGTCAGGGGGTGAAATGCCAATGAACCATCCATGGACACTTCAGTGGATAGGAAATAAACCCCATAGGGAGCTTCTGCCTGTCAAAGACAGCTTGAAATCACCAGCCTGTCTTTAGGGCCATCAGCTTTTTACAAGTTCTGGGTTAGTGAATTGTGAATGCAGACCTCTCCTTACTACATATAGTGAATTCTGTAAATGCCAGTGCTT